ATTAGTGTACATCATCTTCTCCAAAGATTTCATCATACCATTTTCTAGCTTCACCACTTCAATATCTCATATTTTAGCAAATCAAATTATAGATTTTTAAAATAAATGTGTACAATGTGTCGTTCAACTATTGACAACATTAGGCTACATAAAATCAATCATATAAGAATTTGACGAAAAAATAGATTGGTTGGATTTGGATTATATTCTTTAATCTTTTTATTAATATACAATGTTATATGGTAACAGGCAGCCATCATCTTCTCGATCAGTAACTATGAATAATATTATAATAATACCATTATTAATAGGCTACTCATTATAATGGTTCTGGCTGGCTATCATTCTGGTGTTCTCTGGCACCTCCACAGGTATGTATGGGACTGTACAGTCTATCATTTCTAATGAATAAATACATTCGTAGGGCTCAGAATTATCTTTAAATGATTTGAATTACATAATCAAACGACCAAAAGTATGGACAGATATTTTGTTAAGCAAGTTATTAATTAATTTCGATATCACTGTCAATATGTTATCTAAAGGGAAGTTAGCAAGTTATACAACGTTAGCTAGCTTAAAAACGTTGGCTTGCGTCACCTTCATTTTTAGCTAGCTACCTAGAAAAAAACCATTAAACTTTATAACCACCTAGAAACAAAGTGATGAATTGTTGTTACCCATTGTTAACATTGTTTGTTAGCTAGACATAAAGAGTCAAGTGTAACTGACGCCGCCATGTATTCTAATGTTAGCCAAAAACGTTAAGGCAAGCTAGGTAGCTAGCAGTAGCTTGAGTTTCTAGCAAGTTGTTAGCAAGGACCGAGGTCTGCATAAGCTTGTTCAGCTAGCGAGTTAGCATCGCAAGCTAGCTATGTAGGAGAGCACGCTAATTGCTAACTACCAAGCGTTTTGAGCTCCATTATTTTATGGCGCAAGACCATATATAGCCCAAGTCAAGCTCCAATAATATGCTTTTCCTATATGTGGAGTCTTTAAAATACAGTTATAGTAATGATAAAACATGATAGCCAAAGATAGTTGAAATGCCTCAGGCAAACAAATAATCAGTCCGACGATATTAGTTGGTTATCCTAGCTTGTGGGCAGTGTACGGGGGCGGGGGGCGGGTCCGGTTTAACACCTGAGCCCCCCTGAAAGCCTCAACAGCTAAATTTGAGGGGGTTCTCAAATTATAATATTTATTTGTCACTTGCAATGGTCAATACAATGTTTTTAAGCTTACCATGTCCAGTAGCCTATTCATAATTCAAAACATTTATTCACAAGTATCTTCTATTTTGGCTGGCAAAAGCATTTCCTCGCAAAGAATCGAAAACAGACGGCCCTTTAACGGTCACGTATTCATTCATTCATATGAACGTCAGAATATATAATTATTTGACGGCACCCCTGAAGACGCCAGACGGCACCCCGGTTGAGAAACGCTGCTATAGACTACTGATTGTCTTGGCTTGCATCCATGAAATATTGTATAGGCCTACTGCATATTGAGAAATCCATCTTCGACCGGTATATTGCGCAATAAACGGGAGATGGGGGACCCCCCCCCCCGATTATTGACGGGTATTTCTCACCGACAAATATATCTACTTAAATATAATTCCTGTTTATTATTATTATCAACACAGTTACTTTTTTATACAATGAGGTAAATGGTAAATGTGCATGTATGTCGTTCAGTATGCGTTTACAGCTATGGTTTATAGGTGAATACGTCTGCATTTCCTGACAAATACTAGCCTCAAAAAGATTAAAATATAATTAATGCAAATAAACTACTTCTGCTAATAATAATAATCATAATCAATTCAATAATATAAATACTATATTATTTTATTATAACATAGTTTATAGTCAAGACAAAACATGCTTATGACATGCTCAAAAACTGATACTTCTTAAATCTGTATTCAAATGTAGTTCCCTCTGTCAGCAATGTATCAACAACTACACACACATTTCTATCAGTATTTATCTGTGTTGTGGTTGACATGATGACGACTGTTGGGAGTTAAGGGGAGAGGCTGAGCATCACCATGCAATGTGCAAAAATGAATAAAAGGGGAAAAAATGCTCCATGTTTTTTAGGCTGTAAACTTTATCTGTTATGTAAGCCAACTAGACAGACAGTTTATCACTCTTCCTCGTGTATATTAGCAGATAAAAGGCATCAAATACTTGAATGAATGGTAAATAAAGAATGCTGGAAATAACTGCATCTCCATTAGCCTATATGCTATGCAGAGACTGCCTTCTTCATGTCGTGAATTGCAGCTGATGTTTTAATATGGCAATTGGCAAAAGTTTGACATTTGACTTATACAACATTCGCAGGTTGTACATTTGACTCATATACAATAACCCACCTTCGAGTGATGCTGTAGTTTCTTCATGTTTTTTTTTTTTTTTTCCCTCTTGCTTGCGCTGGACTGAAACTGTCTTTTCGCCGACATCTCTTCACCTGCGCGGGGTGCGCGGAGAACTGCGCTGAGAACTGAGCGGAGAACTGCGCACAAGCCAAGCTCATAAGGACTATGGACACAAGATGTGTGCTCTTTGAGAGCAACATTAGGAGATCAACACCCATATGAAACAGAACTGCAAGCAGATTTATTTTTCTTTTTGGATATTTTACAAATCACTCCCCTTTCAAACTGTATTCTTGTTTATTAATAACAACTTTTTTTGTACTGTTATATAGTATGTCGTATGTACTATGATGATCATATAAAGATGTGCCTTTACCTCACTAGCTGTAAAAGCTTCTTATATTCGTTAGCATAGCTAGCTAACCAGATGCTAATAACAACAAAGTTATTGACTGTATGATCAATATGACATATGAACAGATCGCCACTGGGCTTTCAACTAAAGACACAGCCAAGCAAAAACTGCGGCATTTGTACGGCTCCTTATGGGTACTGCAATTTCTGAAGTGCCGGAGCGGCGTTCTGGTGCTCTCCGTCAGCACTACACCCCTGTCAGATGAGACATATAGCACGTGATGACAGGTTAGGCTCGTGTTTTGTTCAAGGACCCTCACCTTGGCCAGCAAAAACAGGCATTCGCTTGTTTCATTATTTTGCGGTCTAGATTTATTTAATTTGTTTCTTTTTTGCGTGTGCTTATAAATTACCTTGATGGCCGTACCAAATGCTCTCGCGGTCCGTATACGGCCTGGAGGCCGGAGGTTCCCCACCCCTGGTATAAAGGAAGCCCTCAAAATAAATGTTTGAGAGGTTCAGGTTAGGTTGTGTAATTGAAATATTCTATATTATAATAATACAGCATCTAGAAAACAACAGAGACGCATGACCTCTGTTCTCTAAAAAGGTGAGACAATGATAATGGCAGCAGATAGACATCCATACTGGACTGATCCTTTTATTATCGTTTATTCATTTAAGTGTCTAAGTGACAAAAAATGTGCCTTCCAAAGACTAGTTGGCACATTAAACAATAAACCTGGCCAAGGGTGACATCAATCTGGTGCACTGAAACCCTTTGCCTATGTGGTCTGTATGATGTGCCCATAACCTTGAATATACGCATGCATCTCCTTGAGGGTAATTTTTATGTGGGATTTGAAACAATCCCATATGGTTACATTTATTTGTTCTTCCACCAGACCTTTCAGCTCAAGCAAACCTTGAGTGCTGAGGAGGCTATGGCATTTATTTAGTTGAACTTAACTCCAGCTTAAAATACCCATTAGCATCATGCACAAGAAAATACAAACCTGCCACTTAAATGACTGCACAGTGAAGCGTTACACCACAAACAAACACAGAATTGTACAGAGGCACAGAAACACTCTAAGTAAGGGTTGCATTGTTGGCAACATGTCCTCAGTGAACACTCAGATTGTTAGAAGTATATCCAATTATGAATGTTTACATATTCCCACAGTATTGATTTATATGTCATGCCTTTTGGCTAGAAATTATGGAATGGCTCTGGGGTTTATCTGTGAATAGATGGCATCTATGAATTTAGAATGTATGCATTCCTTTTCTGTTCACAACTTCACATGCTGGCTTTGTTGAAGGTGTTGCTGCATGTTACATTGCATTATCATTCGGCAGAAAGATGCTGTTGGAGTGGCGAGAAGGAGAGAGAGTTTGATGTCAGTGCATCTTCTCTCTGATATTGTCTACAGAGAGCAAACACATCATAATACTGTAATCAAAAGATTTCTGTTGAAATGACAAAAGAGATGAGTCATGCACTATTTTCATACTGATTGTCTGTTGTGTGTAATTAGTTTGTCAAGTTACAACCTAACAAAATATCGTTTAAAGTCAGTACATTGAAACTGAAATGATCAGGATAAAAAGTAAAAGTCTCAAGAGGAGTGAAACATATATTTTGTTTCGCAGTGGTCTTTTTGTGTTAGACAGCAAGTCATTCCAAAGATTAATTAAAATAACGTTAATTTATTGATTTTGCTGAAATAAATAAGAATATTGAGATTACAGAAATGTCTTACGGACATCAAAACATAAACCAGTTGTAGTTTTCTGCCTTTAACACATATTGTCTGTTCATGGGGTTGTTTACTCATCTGCTACTGAATTGCGACATCAAAGAGCCATGCATGACCTCCCCTTGTGATGGGAAGAGGGGAAGTGGAGGGGGAGAGGACATGCAGTTTTTAATGAAGCATTCATGTTGTTGATGTCTTTCCCTCTGTCTGCTACCTGAGGAAACTTGGCTAGTGTAGATGTTAATGTATGGTCCCTTGTTTCCTTGCCAACTTACCTTAACCTTTAATAGTCAAAAAGTGACTAATCTGTGAAAACAATAATGCTAAAGAAAGCCAAGCACTCAGATACTGTATATTCAATTCTGTTCTACACGCTTTCATCTCTCTTAATGCTCTTCTTATTCTCCATCTGTTTCCAGGTGGGAGGTGCCACGGAGAAGGCACAGTAAGGGAGAGCAAAGACGTGCGGAAATATACAATTTGAAGGCATTGCTCAGCTTTGGCTCCTTCATCCTTTGTACCCCACTTATGCAAGAGGCAGCAACAGCTATTGTGAAAGAGAAGCGTTGAGCCGAGAAGAAAACTGGAGAAAGAGCTAGAGCAGCAGGAAGAGGAGGACATTTGACAGATAAAAAGAGGGAGCTCTGCAGCAAGATCCCCACCGCGGTCTGCGTGACTGGTCTGTGCAAGCAGGGGGAGAGAGAGAGGAGAGAAGGTAGGAGAGAAGGTAGGAGAGAAGGAAGGGGGAGGGGAGGCGATTCAGCGCAGTGCAAGCTGTATGGATGAGTAGCAGCCGCGGCACAGGCAGCGGCATCAGCACCACTAGCTGTAGCATCTTCCTTTGTGGCTGCTGGAGGCTGTCTTGTGGCTGCCTTGTGGCTGCCGTAGCGTCCTCCCCACACACACCGCTACCAGGACGCAGACGCCTTCACTGCCTGCCTTATTCGCACACATGTCGTGGTGGCCACCCGAGAGGAGGTAGTGAGTGACAGGGCTCTGGGGACAGAGGGACACAGGAAGAGGAAACCGGCACGACTGGAGGTGGTGCAAACGAGAGGAGGGCTGGAGCGACGCCGACTAGAGCAGCAGTAGCAGCAGCAGCAGCAGCAGCAGAGGCAGCAGCAGTAGCAGCGGCACCATGGCGCAAGCCGCCAAGCAGCTCCGTAAGACCAAGGACCTCGCAGAGGCCGCCGCCCAGGAGCAGCGGGAGAAGGAGGAGGAAAAGATCAAAAAGAGGAACCGCTCCAGGGACCGCAGGCGCAAGGTATGACTGGCTGTATCTTACACAGGGGAGATGACGGTGTACCTTACATCCATCTATCCCCCTCTACCTGCCTTTCTCTTATCTCTCCAGGGATCATTTGTGCATCATTAGTGACGATGCAATTACACATGTTTAACTACTCAGTTGGTCCTGCGGTCTCATCTGGTGTGTGTGTGTGTGTGTGTGTGTGTGTGTGTGTGTGTGTGTGTGTGTGTGTGTGTGTGTGTGTGTGTGTGTGTGTGTGTGTGTGTGTGTGTGTGTGTGTGTGTGCGTGTAGGCTAACCAGTCAAGCACATATGCTCTGGTACAGGTTGTGCTTGTCGGTCAGATATGAAGCTACGGGGGAAGGAAAAGGAGGCTGATGATGATTGTGTGCCGTTAGAGATGGGACCAATATTGGCTGTAGGTTAGATAACAGGTGATGTCAGTTTCCCTTCAGATGCTTTTTGGGGGGAATCTCAGCCTTACATGGGTGCAGCTCATTCATATTAATGCAATGCAAGTTCAGTATGCTGCTCTTATGCGTTTGAATGCATATAATCCTGTCACGATTGACATGCTCTGCACGCTCTACACACAAAGCTGTATTAGATTTGGTGTCTTTCCCCGTTTTACAGGTTTCTTTCATTGGGGAAAATGTAAAATGGAGGGGGAAGATGGAGGTACACCCCTGTTAATAGATGCAACACATTTTTATTTATTTTGGGGGGCGTGTTTGTGCTACATGTTGTGTTTGATTCTATGATGTTTTGTGAGCTATACATATTTGATGGGAAGAGGATTAATATTTAAATGTGTTGTAACAAACCAGACACACAAAGTACATCCTGTAGGCAAGAGGTCTCTCATTCAGCCTTCTGTCTCACTTCTCTCCGCTGCACTCTCACGCTCTGGTGCTGCCTTTAGGTGTGGATTTTATTGGGGTTCTGCTGCCCCAAATTCATGCTTGGCGGCACTATGATGATACATAGTCTATCACGAAAGGCACTTGTTGACTGGATTAAAAAATTACTTTTATGAATTGTATCCCTGAGTAGAGTTTACAGCAGTATGCCATTTACAGGCTGTTTTCAATGAAATGTCAGCTCTCAATTACATTCTGTTCCTCCTGCAGTATTTCTGTGTGCACATATCGACGTGGAGTTGGTGGCAACAGATAATAGACAGGTCTTTTTATATTCACTCTGTGATGCGTGAGGTGTGTGTATGTGTGTGTTTAAAGCATTGAGAATGAGAAACAAAAGAGACAATGACCAGACAGGCTCTGCATTGTGGTAATGGGCGGGGGCACACCACGATATGGTTAACCATGCAAGATTTCAATTAAGGCAGTTAGGCAATACTTGTGGGAATGTTGTTCATTTTGAAATTCCCTTATAACAAGCTATTAAAAAGAAGGCTTGTGTACCAAAAACATACTATCAATTAATGAGCTATAGACGTTACAAAAACCAAACTGTGGTTGGGCGGTATGGAAATGTATATTGTCTAAGGATATATATTTGTAAAATGACAGAAATTAGTGGTTTCCTTTTTATTAAATGTTGTTTGTATTTATCTATTGTGGGCAATTAGAAAGGATACCTAATGCCGGATTTTAGCATCAATGTCACTAAGTAAGAGAGCAGCCGGAAACAGGCATTTTGTTTCTGATTACTTTTATTCTGAAACCCATCCTCTTTCAAATCCACTGAGACCTGCTTTTAATACAATTATTGAATACACTAACAGGGTAGAAAAATAATGTAACTTCAACTGATGGCATGATACAGCTTTGTGGATGTTTTAGTCTTTCTTACTGATCCAAATCAAAAGTTAAGTTACTAAGTGCTCTTCATTCGATACAGATACGGTTTTGAAGGCCAGTTTTAGTGCTTACCTAATTTCACCGCACTTAGCTAGCCATCCACTTAAGGTTCGCTACCTTAGTTCTTTTCACTTTTAAAAATCAATCAAGTATGTTTAAGATTTCATTAATGGCCATTTGGTTCAACTGGCTTCTTTGTAAAGAGCTGCTTTAGCTTCACTGATATACAATGACTCAAAAACAAAGGCCATGATAGAGGCAAAAGACATGTCTTCCTACTTTGCTCCTAAAGTTATAATTAGATTTCCAATTATATATCAGAAAGAACTCTCTTTTATTAGTATCAGTGTTATACTCAATGAGAAATGGAAGAAAATCTTTGAGGAGCGATGTCGTATCGTTTAGTTGTCGACAGGATATCACAGCTTACGGCACATTTGATGCAATAAGGAAGAATTTGAAATAAAAAATAAACCCATTTCTGCTTCACTGCTTCTCTCTGGCCTTTCTCCATCACTTCCACCTCAATCATCAACCCTTCTTTGGTTTTTTTGTATCTTTCTCCACGTCTGTCTTTTATTTCTTTCAGCTGATTGTTGCTATGAACCCTGAAGCAGTCAGGAAGTGAGTCAAAGAGACAGAGAGGCACAGGCAGGTCTTAATGTTCTGGGGATGTTAATTAGCTCCATTCGATGTAAATCAAACTCGGCAGCATGGCATCGCTCTTCCCTACTCCTTCCCTTTCGCAAAGGTCATCTACTACAGTGCCAACAGAGATCCTATCATAACTCTGGATGGACTGGACAGTAATGCAGTTAGAGAATCTGCAAAGAAAGTGCAGGGGCCCTCTGAGAGTTCTGCAGAGCCAATGGTTTGAAATAGATTATCAACCTTTGTGTAGTTCATCAATATTTTCTGTCTTTTCTCGCTCATATGTGGAAAATGAAGCAAATCCAATCTGAGTATGGTTAAGCCTGTGGTCAGACGTTATTGGAAATGACAAGATAACAGTACATATACTTGTGAGCAGATCCCTTTCTGACAAAACATAATTGACCACTGGTGTATGGTTTCCAGTCACTAGTCACAACAGTCCAATAACTGCTCTTGATTTATGTTGTCATGAATTAACGATGTACAGATCAAGTTTTATTGGCCTTGAACTCGACCTGAGTCCTAAACATCTGGTGCTGATAATGTAATACAACTTATATTTACCAATGTTAAGATTAAATGTTAATGCCACATTTAAAAACAGCTGTACACTACTAACATACACCTTTTTTTTTGAATACTTTGTTATTCAAATACTATTTGTCCTTACACACAACCAATCATTTGATTAGCATTAATCTAGGTGGTTTACTAATGAATGAAGCTTCTGAAATCAATGTGGTGCTATCAGCTCGAGAGAAGTATCACACTCTTGGAGTCTTCACAACTTCAAAACCACATGTGGTGTCATTAAAGTGAAACAGAGTGATGCTTCTTTCCTCCTAAATGATCTTTGGCCGAACACAGACTCCAGCTGGCAGAGAGCACTTAAACCAGATCACAAGCAAATTAAATGTTTCCCTATTATCAAGTTACTCACGGAATTAACAATAATCAGCGACACATGATCATATCAATGAATGAAAACTTTATTACAGACTCAGGGTCCAGATAAAATACAAGGCATTACATTTAATAAATTACATACACAGCATAAAAATAATTCATAGTTTAAGAATAATTTAAATCAGTGTCCTACAAAGAGACAACTATACCAATGTCTCCACAGCTGCGATTGATAGCGTGTAGTACTAAACCTTATGTTCGATAAGGCCAAGAGGATTTAATTATCAGAGTCATTAAGCCGGCAAATACATTTATACATGAGATTTCTTAAAACAGCTTGTAGAGTATTGACTCCTGCAGCCACAAACATTTCACTTGCACTAGACTATCGAGGTCTCTTCAGCAATATTCTCATGGCATCATTATACTGTAAGCTACTTGAAGTTTCCGTAAACTTGCTTTTCTGTAGTTTGACCACAAAAGTGGTGTACAATATGCTCTGAACAGAGACATCTTCACTCCATCTGTACTGATATGAACTGCAGTTGGCAACATTAGTAACATTAGATGGTTAGTTCAGGCAAAAAATGAAACGATGCTACCTAAATCTTTGAAATTTCTACTATGAATGCAACCTCATTAGTGTATCACATTTCCATAGGGAAATAGGGCAAATAATAGTATGGCTGAGATTAAACCGGACGGTGATAACACATAATAAGAATGTAATAATGGGAATGAAAGAAGAACACATTTCTTTGGTCATCTTCTAGGTTTCTTTTGGGGGTTTTAACAATGAGATGGAGTAATCTAGGAGATGAAACCTTTTATGCCCCTTTCACTCCAAGGCTTTTCCCGTTCTAGCTCCGTGCTATTGCTTTTCTGGTTCGGAACCAGTTCTTCGGTTCAGCTCCCGCTCTGTTCACACCGCTCAGAGCCCGACTGGTGCTGCGTCATTGCGTCACCGTTTGCGTGCCTGCTTCATAAAGCCAAACCACGCGGAAACCCCTCACATCGAAAACAACAACAATGACCGATTGTATTGAAGCGCTACTCGTTTTGGTTTTGCTCTGTCGAAATGAAATGGAAGAAATGGGACGACTTTACTTCCAACTTTACAGTCGTCACATGCTACATTCAAAAGTTCTTTACAATCATCATCATCATCATCAACTTCAACGACGAATCCGTAGGAGAAAGAAGGTAAATATGTACGTGACAAATTCAATGGCGTTAGAGCTAGCTGTTGTTAGCCTCTGAATGCGACAAGCTCAAAATACCCAGCTTTGCAGCATTAATTACTATGGTATAACATTAAAACTGATGCCCCTGCCCCCGCCTCCGACGGTGCTTGCTTTCTAGACCGACAACTTTTTGGAGCTTGAAACAAACCGGATTCCGGAGCTTAGAGGCGGCACCGCTGCGAACCCTGGAACCGCGTTGGTGTGAAAGGGGCATTATTGTAGTACCTCAGCGTCCTTGGGCCAGCACATTATCCTGTTTCCTCCAGCACTGCACTTATTACAATGGATTCAAAAATTGGCTAATGCATTGTGTGTGCTTCACATGTGCACATACTGTGAGTGTGAGTGAAATAGCAGGGTTTCAGGGTATCTCATCCACTTGTATGTAA